TATAGGAAAAGTGAACATATTCTTACTTAGAATTAAGGGAATGGGAAAGGACCAGAAAATATCAATATAAAAGGGTCATACTGCTTAGCTACTGCAACTCCCAGAGATAAAGAATGGGAGATGTGTAAGTGAGCACAAAAATGAAAGAGGTATTAGAGTTAAAGGGGAAAGAAAATCGATCAATCTTAGGTGTTTAAGGTAATGCTTCCTGAGAAGGTATAACATTGTTCAGCTGAATGAGTGGTAACTAAAGAGAAGCATAACAATTGTTAAGATTTTATTGGTCTGCAAAGATAAGTAAATTATTTTAAAGCTGATTATTAATCAAGGGGATCTCTAATACCAAGAAAAAGACCTGGAAAGGAAAACAGAAATCCACAGGTACTCCAAATAATTATTTTTAATGATTAGTTTCACTCTCTTCATTATGTTTTATCAGTGACTATAACCCTGGTTATAGTCACTTTATAGTAACTGTAAAGTGGCTAAAATAAATCAACCACTTATTGTTTGCTTGTTAAATGCTTGGCACCATTGTATTGTGGGGATTCAAAAGAATCAAGGGACATTGCCTTTGATCTCAAAGAGCTTACAATTTGGTTGCCCAAACAAAACCAAGCATAACAAGGAAAAAAATTAGGTGGCACAATAAAGTAAAGATGGAATTCAGACAATATGTCAGTGGGCTAGAGTAGTCAGGGAAGATTGAAAGAGGGTGACTCTGTGGGGTGCCTTGTAGGATAGTGGTAGAGCAGGGAGGGCACATCAGGCAAGGGGTAGACAGCCTAAGAAAAAGCCCAGAGTTAGGAATGGGTGTAGGGTATTTAGGCAACATTGAGGAGAAACTGCCTGTCTTGAGGAAATTTGGTGATGCTAGAGAGTAATTACTAATTAGAAATAAGGTTTAACCTATAGATTGAGTTATGATGAGCCTTAAAAACCATGCAGAAGATCCTGAACTTTTGTAGATTCTAGAGTACTGTAACATAGTTTTCTTCTCTGCCTTAAAGGAATACAAAGAGCAAGAAGCCAGACTCATACTCTCACTGGAAGGGTTCACAGGTCATTGTTCTCTGAGCTGACCTTAACGTAACACAGTGACATGTATGACGGATTGGAGGACAGAAATAGAGTTGGGACCAACAGAAGCTGCTGCACTGCTCTGGGCACGCAGCAGTGAGGGGTTTAGGCGAGAGTGAGGGCAGTCGGAATAAAGGGGAGAAACAGAAAGTAAGGAAGGAGAAACAGGACTTGGTGATAAAGGACAAAAGGAATAAAGAAAAGGAGTAAATGTTTAAGACTTTTAGCTTAAGAAATGAAGGAATGGTGGTATGAAAGGCAAATGAAAAATCTGGAAAGCCAGCGTGAGGGAAATGTTTAAATTTTATTTAATCCATCCGTTAATTCATTTAACATATACATACTGAGTGCCAACTATTTACTGAAGATATAGTGTTGAGCAAATAAAGACATCATGCTTGATTTCAGGGAGTTTTTGGTCTACATGGAAGAAAAACATTGTTCAAATCATCACACAAATAAAAAATACAGCTATGACATAGGTTCAAAGGAGTGGTATACAGTGGTAAGAGAGCCTAGATTAGGGGAATCTGACCTAATTGAGGAGATCAGGAAAGTCTCTGAGGAAGCAGAAGCTTGAGCTGATCTCTAAAGGTAAGTAGGAACAAAATGGGGTGGAAAAAACATTCTAGGCAGAAGAAATACAAGTAGTATTTTCAGTGCTGAACTGGAGATGTGGCAACATATTGGAGTTAAAACCACTTAAGGCATTTGCAAAGAGTGATTGGAGTACACATGAGAGTTTAGGAAGGGAGATTTCAGCATGTTTAGTGAAAATTGGTAGTTGAGTTTAGGAAAGTGGATGAAGATACAGGAATAAAGGGGCTGAGACTAGAACCTTTAGGAATAACCACAATTAAAATAAACAGGAGAGGGCTTCCCTGGTGGCACAGTGGTTGAGAGTCCGCCTGCCGATGCAGGGGGCACGGGTTCGTGCCCCGGTCCGGGAAGATCCCACATGCCGCGGAGCGGCTGGGCCCGTGAGCCATGGCCGCTGAGCCTGCGCGTCCGGAGCCTGTGCTCCGCAACGGGAGAGGCCACAACAGTGAGAGGCCCGCGTACCGCAAAAAAAAAAAAAAAAAAAAAAAAAGATAAAAAATAAACAGGAGAATAAAGAGTACAACCAAAAGAGAAGAGTTTAAAGAATTATAAGCTGAATGGAAGATGGAGGCTTTGAAATGGCTTTTGCATCTCTGGTAGACTTTCAAAGAGCTTAATTTAAGAGGTAGGGGTAGAATCCAGACTGTAGGCACTGAATGTCTGTCTCATTGTGAGTTGATATTTCTGTACCCCAGGAAATACAGCCAGAGTACCAGGCCTCAAGTTCCACACTGTGTTGTTTTCAACACTTGGATAAACAAAGGAATTTGGGTGAAATCTTTCACACCAAATCAGTGAACTTCAACTGGCCACAATGGGATGATGCCTAAGCCTGTCGGATGAAAAAAAGATAAGATAGGAATAGGATGATGAAATGAGAAAGCTCAAACCAGCGGGGGAGGAATTAGATGATACAAGGTCTTCCAAGGCAAGTGGAGTAATTAGGAAGTTGGTAAGAGTTCACAGTTGGTTGTATATGATTGTGAATCCAACAATACAATAGTTTTCTTTGTGACTGAACTAACTCAAAGGAGTATAACCAATAAACTGCACTCTTTAGTGCATCAACAATCACTCTGGCTATATCTCAGGCACTAGAAGTATCTAAGGTACATTTTTTTCATGCATTATTTTTGGACTATTTAATATAGCCAGATTTTGAATGGGGTTATGCTGCTTTCATATGCACCTAATTGAGGACAAGTTTTAGGAGTGGGGTATGTCTTTATCTGCTGGCAAATCAACCTACTATACTTTTTGTAACTCTGTTAATCTCACTTTCAAATTAGAATATTGAATGAATGATGTTGATTTCCTGGTTTTGTTTCTTTTTTAGATTGAAAGCAGATTTATTCAGGGTGATACACACTCAATAGACAGAATGTGAGTCATCTCAAAGGGCAAGAGGACCTATTTTTCTGTTCTTAAACTAGAATTTCCAAAGAAAAAATTTTCATACTGGGTCTATCGAAATTGGTAACTTTCCTGTGTTTTGAGATTCTTTTTGTGGGAAGGGAATTTTTTGGCCTTGCTTTTGGTCAGTACTCTGGTTCAACCTTGCCCATCACCATTAATAGCTGTTTATTATTATTATTATTAATTTTTTGCCTGCATTGGGTCTTCGTTGCTGTGCGTGGGCTTTCTCTAGTTGTGGTGAGCAGAGGCTACTCTTCGTTGCAGTGTGCAGGCCCCTCACTGTGGTGGCTTCTCTTGTTGTGGAGCACAGGCTCTAGGCGCGAGGGCTTCAGTAGTTGTGGCACGTGAGCTCAGTAGCTGTGGCACACGGGCTTAGTTGCTCTGCGGCACGTGGGATCTTCCTGGACCAGGGCTCGAACCCGTGCCCCCTGCGTTGGCAGGCTGATTCTTAACCACTGTGCCACCAGGGAAGCCCTTAATAGCTATTTTATGAGTATCATCATGATTATATTCATAAATATTTCCATTTCTTAAGTTCAACGTGTCTCAACTTTAAGAGAATGTAAGTTTAAATTAACTTGCCTAATATTATACTGCCTCTATGTGTGTATGAAAGCTCATTTTTGAAAATAAGAAGCCCATCCAACTGAAGCATTTCCCTTTAGCAGTTTTATATTTATTTATTTATTTTTTAAATTTCTATTTATTTTTGGCTGCGTTGGGTCTTTGTTGCTGCATGCTGGCTTTCTCTAGCTGTAGCGAGCGGGGGCTACTCTTTGTTGTGGTGCATGGGCTTCTCCTTGCAGTGACTCCTCTTGTTGCGGAGCACAGGCTTCAGTAGTTGCAGCACGTGGGCTCAGTAGCTGTGGCACGTGGGCTCTAGAGCGCAGGCTCAGTAGTTGTGGCCATGGGCTTCGCTGCTCCGCGGCATGTGGGATCTTCCCAGACCAGGGATCGAACCCGTGTCCCCTGCATTGGCAGGTGGATTCTTATCCACTCTGCCACCAGGGAAGTCCTATATTTATTTATTTATTTATTATTATTTTTCCTTTAGCAGTTTTAAAGTGTAGTTGAAATACAGGACATGTGGAGACACTGCCTCATTGTTAACTTATACCCACTACAGGAAATACAGCCAGAGTTCTAGACCTCCAGTTCCAGACTATATTGGTCCTGATGATGAAACAACAAAGGAGTGTGGGTAAGCTCTCTTGACAAAGCAATGAACATGAGCCTCATCACAATGGTGGTTGTAGACATCTTATACATACTAGAATTGAGTGAGAATAACAAAACAAGTATATTGTTCTGAACCAAGTTCCGTGTGTGTGGTTGTTGACAAGTCTTACTTTGTCATTATTGTAGGGATGAAAGTAAGCTTCAAGATCAAACCTTCATCACCCAGCAAGTGCCAATCTTAGACTCTACTGGTGAACTGGTGATACCCAATATTCAGAAAGGATCACAAGAGTCTGACATAGTAAGGAGTCTGTAATCTAACCAAACAATATACATAATTGTTCTCCTTCCTCATGCAGCTTCCTCTAAGTCACAGTTCTTTTCTCTACCAGTCGGGAGATCTCAGGGATCAGTGAAATGAGTAATAACATTAGTGTGAGATTGTAGACATTTTAATAAACAATATCCACACTAGGGAAGGCATATATTTAATGCAAATGCATATTTGTGCCTCTTTTAGTGTGGAAAACCTATAAATTGCCTTTTGAAATATATAGCCCAGTTAAAATATGTACTATCCTTTATGTAAGAATAAACATAGTGACCCTGTAACTGTTGGCTTTGGACAGAGGTGGGAAGTCTGGGTCACTATAAGCTAGCGGACAAAGGCATTATAAGGAAGTACGGTACCATAAAAAAAAAAACAACACAAAAAAAGCCAGGTTTTCTTTTTAAGAGTTTTTTACTTGTAATTTGTTGTACATAATCAATTAGTACGATGTAAAATGTGAGAAATTTCCAGTGAGGCCACATCAGAGCAAAAAGAAAATACTGAACTTTTTAGCAGCTACTAGCATGAACACAACTATACAGATTTTTTTCCATCTAAGAAATTAGAAACTCTTCTGAGTAGCAAGTACCTAGCCAAATGAGTTGATTCCAATTAGAGCAGCACAATTCTGATTAGTTAGCATTTCTTAAAAAGTAATTTTCCTTAAATGTAAGGAAAACTTAGGAGTCTCTGTGATTATATTTAATTCCACTTGGAATTTAGACAATATGACCCTTTATTCAACCCAGCCTGTAGTTGTTGGACTGGATTAAATATTACTACCAGTTGTCAGCTGTGATAAGAGATAAAACAAGAGGCATTCTATTATGAAATTATAAATTTCTATTGCCTCACCTTTAGGCAGGCAAATCCAAAAAAAAAAAAAGCGCCAGGAGGGTCATAAATATATTTTATTAAAGTTCAATCACCTTAAGTGATTAAAGATTTTGACGTTCTATCCAACAGGTGGTAGTAACAAGCCTAAAATCCACAGAGTGCACAAACATTTTCAAGGTTTTTACCATCCTTAATTCATTAAATAACCCCCATGGAATAGGTTAGCATTATCTACGTAACTAATGAGGAAGCAGAAAAATAAATGACCTATGTCATCTGGCTGAGGACCAGAGACTACTCTATCAGAAATGAGAAGCCTTCTCCTAGGTCAATGGGTGAAGACCATATCAGAAAGACAGGATTCAACTGGCATGCTAGAGCAAAAAGACAGAATCTATTCTGTTTAGCACATAAATTTCTGTTCTGACTTAAAACTGAGCTATAGCAAAGAAACAAAAAGCATAAAGACAATTGAATTAATGGTAGCAGAAGAATCTGTCAAAGCATTTCTTTGACTACTTCACACATGGAAAGCTTTTAAATTTCTTAGGCCCCAGTTAATTACTTTACATTAGGGTTCTTTCATTAAAAAGTATCACAGGGCTTCCCTGGTGGCGCAGTGGTTGAGAGTCCGCCTGCCAATGCAGGGGACACGGATTCGTGCCAGTCCAGGAAGATCCCACATGCCGCGTAGCGGCTGCGCCATGCGCCATGAGCCATGGCCGCTGAGCCTGCGCGTCCGGAGCCTGTGTTCCGCAACGGGAGAGGCCACAACAGTGAGGGGCCCGCGTACCGCAAAAAAAAAAAAAGTATCACAAATGAGAAATGCAGGCAAGAGGAAAGAACAATATAAAAATTTTGACAAGTAATATCAGGTTAGACTTACTTTAGGGAACAGTCTTGCACATACTTGGAGAACACTTGAGTCTGAAGGTTTTGAGCCTCCACCCCAGGAAGTAGGAATTTGGTTTTTCCCTTCCAAACGGGAAGAACATTTTTAGGAAGAATTTTTGTCTTGGAGAATTTAACAGTGTCACCCAAGGTTGTATCTTTAAGGGTGGTTCATTTTCTCGGACCCTTTGTTACTCAAAGTAAAGTACTAGGAGTCCTAAGAAATGTTCTGTTCTTATACATTATACTGATTAAGTTCAGCATTAATTTGATCTCAAAGCTAAGAACAGTGGTTAAAACTTGTTTACAGAAATGCATTTTGGAAGAGAAAAATATTGTAAAACATGTAGTGAATGTTTCTTCAGTTTCTCATTCAGCCAATGAGGAAAGGGCATTGCCTTTCTCTTTACCATTAATCACTTCTCAATAAACATGAGATCCTGTTAAGCATCAAAAAAAAAAAAAAAAAAAAAAAAAGAGTCTTGCTCACTTTCATGGTTTGGAATACCCCTTGTTTTCTGGGCCTGATATAACTTTTGAAATAGTTTTCTAAAAAAATCCTGTTGGCATCTGAATTAATGACTGAAGCATTAATTGATTGCTAAAGCAAACCCTGAAATTTAACGCTTGGCACACACCACAAAAAGTTGATTTATCCAATGCATACTGAGGTATCCTTGGGAAGTGGTTTTAAGGAGCAGGAACAGTGACAATGATAGAATTAGTGGTCATGAGTCACTAGGACAAAGTGGCATTCAGCAGAAAAGACAGAAGCAGTTGTCACATCTGTGGGATAAGTAGAGATGGATTATATCTTGTGTGGTGTGGGATAAATGAGAGGCTCAGCAAAGCTTCGCAGAGAGGCCTCACCCACTGGCATTTATGTGGGGCTGTGTTTGACGATCAACCAAAGGGTGAATTATTTTTGACCTATTTCCCCATACAAGAGATCCTCTTCCTTGGAAGATCGTCTTTACACACACTAATGTTCCCTTCCTTCAAGTCATCAGAAAAGGGGAAAATTTTTAGAAATCAGGTCTAAGCTCTTATTCCAGAGAAGCATTTCACAGTTAGAACAGTGACCTCAAAAATAAAATTATGAAGAGCAAGTGAAAATCTGGTTTCAGAATTACACTAGGAGTCTCCCTATTAACTACTTAACAGGGGATAATGGTCCTATGAAAGATTTTAGTTACATAGTATTCCAATCCCAGGGATCTGATCTGAGCAAAGTTGGCAGTTGGAGTTGGTCAAGAATAAAGGGCAATTACTCAGGATGGACTGAGTCCAGAACAAACTCATTTCTAACGGCCCATGGTAGGCATGACTACAGCAGGTGAGGAAAGAGAAGCATCTTCTTCTTTCCACTGTGAAGTGACAGTTTTTAGCTGAGTGTAGAACTGGATGCCCTAAAGAGAACAAAGAAAGAAAAAAAGAAAGAGAGAAAGAGAGAGTTATCATATATGCCCGGGGGTTTCATGATTCCTCTTTTAATCACTTTTGAAGGAGATGCTATGAAATGCTATTCACGTTCCTACTGGAGGAATAGGTGCAACCAAAATTAAATATATTGCTCATGAGATAATTTATGTAAAACATTTAGCATATTACCTGGCACATCTAAATGGAAAAATTGAACAAGGTAAACTGTTAAACTTGTATTTATTTATAAGAATAGGCTTGAGTAAAAGAGAATAGACTGAAGATCTAACACATAAAATTACTAGCAAGCTAGAAGGATACTGTTAGAAAAAAACACACCAGCTTGATTAAAATACTCTTCTAGAATTATTAGACAAAATCTGGGCAATGTTAATATAGTGAAAACAACTTTAGAGATTATAACATACTTTCACTATAAGATACAACTGAAGTTTACATTTTATTATGTAAGAATGATACTTTTATGTCTTCTTTCCATAGTGCAAAATAGCAATTTAAGTACCTAAGGATTTAAGACTTCAAACTGTATATAAGGTCAGTCTTTAAGAAGCCTCACTCACCAGAGTAACTTACAGTAACTAAACAAAGACATAGCAGGAAAAAAACTCCAAAACTGACAAACTATTTTAAGCAAGAGTTTTACTCTGCTTCCCTTGAAATAAATTTTTAATAGTATCAAACTAGTCAATTTTACAAAAGCGGTGACTAATGCACAAACTGGATAATCCACCTCCAAACAGTGTTTCTTAACCAGCTGGCTACACGGTCATAGCCTGCTGTGTAATCCCACTGTTAATTTATTATTAACCTATAAAAGGGAGACCTGTATAGAAAATAAGTAATTTTTTACTGAAGGTGCCAAGATGGTTGTATTTCTGTGGGACTACAAAGAACTTTCACTAGCCCATTTGTCCAACACGTATTTGGGTACTTGCTCTGTGCCACGTTCTGCAGATAAGTAAATAATAATTACAGTGTGACGAGAGCTTCTTAACATGGCTTAAGTAGTCCTACTACATGACTTGCCTCTGCCTACCTCTCTAACCTCATCTCTTACCACTATCTTCCTTATTCACTCACTGTGCTCCAGCCCATTTCTGCTGTTTGAACATGCCATGCCTGTTCTTGCTTTAGGATATATGCACCAGTTGAAGGATGTGATAATAGTGGTAATTTGGTTCCAGATCTGCTCTATTTATTTATTTTTTGTTTGGTGCTGCATTTATATAATTTTTATTATAGAATAGTGTTTAATATACAGAAGGTGCTCAATAAAATTTTTAGTAAATGAGTAACTATTACGGGAGCAATGTGTGCAGTGGGAGCACATGAGGACATACCCAGCCCAACACTGAAGGGGATGGTGGTGGTCAGAGGTGATTTTCTGGAGGAGTCCACACTTTAAACTGGGGGTTAACAGTCAGATGAAAAGGTGGGAGAAAGGGGGGATACAGGAAGAGAGGGTCACAAGCAGAGGAGAGGACATATACAAAGGCTTGGATTTACTCATGCTCTTTCCTAAAAACTGTGTTGCCTTGAGTTATTCAGGAATTGGCAAAATTTTGTTAACTTTTATATCTTTTCTAGGGAACTACTGACTTGTTCCTGAATATGTTCAAGAAAGTTTCTTAGAGGAAAAATATTTTTTTTAAACTTAAAGTCACCTGTTTGCCATAGAAATTGGTGTCTCCCCTGAAGGAAGCTCGAGAGCCAGTGAATGAGAACATTGGCAAAGGCACTGGAATGGGCACATTCACCCCGACCTAAAGCAGAACAAATCCACGTCAAATACTAAGAAAAACAAAGGAACTTTCCATTTAGAAGCCCAAATGCTTGGCATCAGAGAGACCAATTTTAACTACCCACCTTCCACCCGATCCTGCATCCCATGAGCTTTTATTCCTGAGGGAGATCAGAGGGGCAGTGACTGATCGCTGTTTACCTTCTCCCCTTACATAGGAAACAGTAAATGGCTACAAGAATATCATAAGAATTCTGTTCACAAACCTGTCCGACATCTACCAGGTGGGAATATTTCCGAGCAGTGGCTCCATTGGTGGTGAAGATGGCAGTTCCATTTCCATATGGGTTGTCATTTACGATCTTGATGGCTTCATCCAAAGTGTCTGTTTCCAGAACTACAAGAACTGGGCCAAAAATCTCCTCTTTGTAACAGGTCATATTTGGCTGCCAGGAGTGATGTAGCAGAAAAGAAGTCAGTATTTGTTGCTTATTTGGTACTTTATTACCCACTTGCTTAATGAACAGCTTTTATGTCAGTAATAATCTCTTTTCATTTTAAATCACCTATTAAAAAAAGTCCTTTCTTGCTGTGTTCCATCTTCCAAGCTACCAATCATAAATAACTTGAAATTCCTATTGCTGTAACTATATAACTACACTCCTTTTCTTTAAGCACTGTATTTTTAGGTCTCATGACCCATCACTAGCTTCCTGTTTTATGCCTGTCTTACTTGTTTATCCAATTGTTATCTTACTGAAAACTACTTGAAAATTCATTTTTTTAATAAATCAAATATATATTAAAAACACCACAGGAGAATTTTTCTATTTAAAGAAATCCTGTGCTAAGTTTTCTGTAACATAAACAATCTATTCTCATTTGTTCCTTTGCCTCCCAAATGAGTCTGTACATTTTTATTTTGGTATCAGGTCACATTAAACATTGAAAACATCTTTTACCACTGCAGCTGGTCAGCTGTGTTTGTTGCTGATAAGTGGATTTTTCCTCAATGACTCTGTGGCAAGAAATCTCATAATTTCTACTACACTTAGATTCAGCTCTTGACTATTCAGGATTATAATAGGATTAGTGGGGATATGTGAATTTCAAAAAACTCCTCAATATAGTCATTGAGGAGTCATTGTCATTCTAGCTGAGCAACTTTCAGTTTTGATAAATAAAAATTGACACCAATTCTTTTTCTTTTGTCACTTTCTGGTGAAGATGTAGGTATTCAATAACTATTGGGGGCTGATATATTGATGGAGACACTGCAATAGCTATAAGCTAGGCAGTAAGAAGGAGAGGGAAGAAGAATTTAACATTAAACAAGTAAGAAGTATAATGTAAGATAGGAACTGGCAAAATAATGGCCTGTGAGCTGGAGTGGCTTGCTGCCAGTTTCTGTACAGCCCACAAGCAAAGAATGGTTTCTACAATTTTTAAATGGTTGAAAAAAATCAATCATGACACCTAAAACTATATGAAATTCAAATTCCATTGTCCATAAATAAAGTTTTATTGGAATACAACCACACCATGTTAATGGCTGAGTCGAGTAGTTGTGACAGAGACTATTTGTCCCTGCAAAGCCAAAAATATTTACTCTTTAGCTCTTAATGTAAAATTATCCAACCACTGGTATAGTGGAAAGAGGTTGGAAGTCAGGAGGGGAGACTCATTCAGACCTGAGATAAAATAACTGAGTAATTCTGGCAAGAGATGAGGTCTCTAGTCATTAAATGTCTTCATTTATAAATTAGATGAATGAGGTGCCTTTAGCTAATTTCGCAAAATTATATATTTGCAAAATAAATAATCCAGAGTTGTTCACCTTGACATTTGAGATGATGGTTGGCCCAACAAAGTTCCCATTTTCATAACCTTTGACTTTAATATCTCGCCCATCAAGAAGGATGGAAGCTCCTTCCTCTGTTCCACTATCAATCAGATTGCAGACTCGCTCTTTTGCCTGGGGGGTGATCAGAGGGCCAAGATCAGCTCCAGGCTGGTCTCCTGTAGAATAACACAGAAGTATTTCAGGTCTTCATTAACATAAATTATGAGTGCTAAATAAAGATGAATCCAAATGACAAGTAGTACAGTACAAAGAGAGACAATGGTAAGAATAAACATGATTGCTCCCACTGGACAAGGCCAATGCGAAAATCAAGAGCTTAGTGCCACAGATGCAAAGTCTAAAGAAGCCGGGCAGATAACTGGTTACCTGCATTGACTCTCAGCTTTTTGGCACGCTCTACCAGCTCTGGCAGCCACTTCTTAGCTTCTCCCACAAGGATCGCTGTTGAAAGAGCCATGCAGCGCTGACCAGCGGCTCCAAATGCTGCCCCAACGAGCTGGTTCAGAGTATTTTCCTTATTGGCATCTGGCATGACTACCCCATGGTTTTTGGCTCCCTAAGGAAATACAGAAAGTACATGAATCTTCCTTGGCAAAATACAATTTGGCTAAGAAATGAAAGAACCTGAGATTTCAGATGAGAATTTAAGGAAAGGACTCAAGAATTTATCCTGTGTTGCTTTGAAAATAGACTTATTATCATTTTGATATTGCTGAAGTACTGGTAACACTGAGTAAGTCTCCAGGTTAATTTTGCTTCACTTCCTCAGCTGAAAAGCTGATAGGTGTTTATTTAGATCAAAACCATTATCAAACGCCCCTCCACAAAAACAAAACACTGCCTCAATCACGTTTGGTCAAATTGACAGGCTAAACACTGCATCCAGGAGCCAAGGAGAACTCCCTTCTCTTTCCTAAGTTAGCTAGGAAAGAATCTGTTGTTTGTCAGAGGTTCCAGTTATATGAAGAGCAATGTAAACATAGAGCTGCCAGTAGCCAGCTGAAAGGCAAAATAGGAGGTAGGCCTCCTGATACACAATTTCCAGAAAGAAATTCCCCCAATTGGCTTGCTTCTAGATACACAGCCTCATAAACGTCTATGTGGGACTGACATATGGTCATTTCCACATGTTTCCATGTACAGCTATAGTTGAGTACATAAATAGATACCTTGTCTGCTACTTAACTGTATCCCATTACACATAGTATAATGTTAGACACAGAATACATTCAAGAAATATGTAGTGAACTGGGAGGGGCATAAATCAAATTGGCCAAAACACATCCAGCCATGAAAAGAAACAAATGGGCATATCATGAACAGTCTCCAAGCCTGTACATAGGTGGCTACCCTTTTTGCAACATTAGTGGAAGGGTAAGAAAGTAGCAACTGGACATTATATTTAGTATCAAAGAATTGCCAAGTATTTGGCGAGGAGCTAGTCACTAAGGAACAGCAAAACTATGCAGCCAAGTAAACCACACTCATATATCATACAGGGATATCTGGCTCTTTCCAGAGCCTTAAATAGTCTGGGCTCTTAGGGAAGATCATATCTTTGACATTAGTAGTTAGGATACGCCTTAAAGGCAGGAAGGATGGGGTCTAGCTGGAAGAATGGTATGAAGGAAGAAACAGGGCCAGAAGCAGAACTTGGCAGTTACTGCTGAAGCCCAAAGAATTTGAATATCATTCTTAAGGAGAAATGTGACTTTATCACCAAGATTACCTGGTTAAGATAAAAGGTAATTAAAGTGACAGAGAATAAAACTCATCACACTGTTCGTGGTTAAAGGGAAGACAACCAGGATGAATTGTGAATAAAGAAACACTGGCATTAGAGTGGGATGAGTGGCCCCTCTGCTGAGGGGCTTTTTCTAGGTAATTTTAATACATATAACAGAATTTGGGGGAAAAAGGAATAAGAAGTTACCATATTGGCTTGAACTCTCTTGCCATGTCTTGACCCTCTCTCAAAGATGTACTCTCCTGCCTGGTTGGATCCCACAAAGCTGATTGCTTTGATATCAGGATGATCACAAATAAAGTTTACAGCTTTAAGAAGAAAATAAATGATTACCACAAAGGAAAAAAGGGCTGTGGGATTCTCAGCAAAGCAAATTTCTCCCTTTCTCACTGTTATGAATGAGAAGTTTTCATACTTTTGTTTTTCTACCCTGGATTCCCATTTTGGAGTTCTGTCCTTGTTCTCTTAAATTCTTTTTTTTTTTTTTGGCCACGCTCCACCGCTAGTGGGATTTTAATTCCCCGACCAGGGATCTAACCTGCGTCCCCTGCAGTGGAAGCGAGAAGTCTTAACCACTGGACTGCCAGGGAAGTCCCTCTCTTAAATTCTTTAAACTACAAATCTTATTTAACCTCTTCTCTTTCATTATTTTTCCCACTTGCTAGTCCAGAATTTCTACTTTTAATCTAACTCTGAAGGCTACAACTCCTATTTTCCTCCAAAATAATAGCCTTTCAATACTCAACTCTTCCTTTTGTCCTTTACGAATGTGATATTTCCTCAACTGTCACTTATACTGGGACTCTCAGATACTACTGTGCCCTCATGCGAGAGGCAATAGAGCATAGTGTTTAAAAGTAAAAACCAGGGTCACCCTTCTTAAGTATACACATCCCGACTTTGACAGTTTCTAGCAACGTGACTTTGAGCAAATCACTTAATTTCATTATACCTCAATTTTCTTATCTGTAAAATGGGAAAATAATAGTACCTACCTCAAAGGGCTGTTGTAAAGACTAAATGAGATAATATATAGAAGGCATTAGGAACAAATATATAGAAGGCATTAGGAACAGCGCTTGAAACACAGAAGCACTTTTCAAGTGTTAGCTATTATTATATGAATCAGAAGGACTTCAGTGCCTCTGAGATCTATAAAGTCTGACTTAAATAACCTTATAAATTCTCTCAATATTGAAATGAAACTTCTCTTTAATCTCATCTGTATCTTGCCCTAACCATATTTCTTTGTCCTAATGTATTCTGTAGAGCAAGAAGCACCGCTACTCCCCAGTTAGTTACCTTAGCACAGAGGTGGCAAAACAATCAACAAACATTATCTTCAAACATGGAGGTTACTACTAGTAAATCCCTTCATCCCTAGGTTCTTCATCCTAAAACACCCCATCACTGACTCAACACCTTGATTTTTTGGTATCCAGATTAAGTGCCATGTAGAGAGGGGCAGTTACCTTCATGTTGTCCATGGATGACATTCAGTGTTCCGTCAGGGGCACCAGAGTCCTGAAGCAACTTGGCAAGAAGTATAGTTGCTCCAGGGACTCGCTCTGATGGTTTCATTAGGAAGGTATTTCCACATACCATGGCCATGGGAAACATCCAAAGGGGGATCATGGCAGGAAAATTGAATGGAGCAATGCCTGCACACACCCCCAGAGGCAGACGGTAGGAATAAAGGTCCATGTCTTTGGTGATGGATGGCATGGTCTCTCCCAGCATGAGGGATGTCACACTGCAGGCATGCTCAACCACCTCTGGAATAGAGAAGGAGCAGTCGGGCCACCAACTCTCCACACTGTGCACTATTTAGTTTTGTCATGCTCTAGTCAGCCCTGAGTGGCAAGACCAACGACAGAGGGAAGAAACACTGACTTGCCATGTGAAGGGGTTGCGTAAAGTGAGATTATCTGAATGGGAAAAAGAAAGTGCAATACATATACCATTTGGAAGATCATTTGAGTAAAATAATGAATGAAGTAAACCAATCCCACAGATACCTGAGTACTGTCATTTCCCATAAGTATTAAAAAAGATATCATGGGATAGCAAAATCTACATAAAGGAAGAAGCAATCCCCCATCTGGGGTCTTTGCCTCTCATTTTCCTTTGCTTCTTCCCAATGTCCCTGAACTCCCCATGAGGAATCCCTGCTTACGAAGGCCTCGAAATACATCTCCTTCGGCATCCGCTAGGGTCTTCCCTTGTTCCAGCGTGATTAACCTGGCAATTTCTTTCTAGAGAGAAAACACACATATAGAAACCAACGCAAGGATGTGCCTCCTGTTAGTTCTCAGGCAGCCAAAAAAGAATAAAAGTCAGGGAGAAGTACTATGAGGGAGAGAGCCATGATCTATGTCTCTCTGTATTGTACAGTTAGGGAGAGCAGCTAAAAGTGCCTCTCGAAAGTGACAAGTATCCCCTAGGCAACAGTTTGGAAAATTATACCATTCAGATTTCTTACCAAGTTTTCTTTAATGAGTTGTTGATAGCGGAGCAGGACCTGCTGACGGCTTAATATTGAAGTGTCTGCCCATGCGGGAAAAGCACGTTTGCAGGAAGAAACTGCTGCATCCATTTCAGCCTTGGTGGCTTGAGGGACCCGACCAATGACCTCATTGGTGGCCTGATGGAGAAAGCAGCACATCAGGGACTTCTCTGGTGGTCCAGTGGTAAAGAATCTGCCTTAGGGCTTGCCTGGTGGTGCAGTGGTTAAGAATCTGCCTGCCATTGCAGAGGGGACAGGCTCGATCCCTGGTCTGGGAAGATCCCACGTGCTGCAGAGCAACGAAGCCCATGCACCACAACCACTGAGCCTGCACTCTAGAGCCTGTGAGCCACAACTACTGAGCCCACGTGCCACAACTACCGAAGCCTGCGCGCCTAGAGCCTGTGCTCCGTGACAAGAGAAACCACTGCAATGAGAAGCCCGCGCACAGCAACAAAGAGTAGCCCCCGCTTGCCTCAACTAGAGAAAGGCCGCATGCAGCAACAAAGACTCAACGCAGCCAAAACTAAATAAATTAAAAAAAAAAAACTGCCTTACAATGCAGGGGGCACAGGTTCGATCCCTGGTCAGGGAACTAAGATCCCACGTGCGGCGGGGCAACTAGGCCCGCGTGCCGCAACTACTGAGCTCGCGCCCCTTAACTAGAGAGCCTGCGCACCACAAACTACAGAGCCCATGTGCTCTGGAACCCGCACACCACAATTACAGAGCCCACGTGCCCTGGAGCCTGTGAGCCATAACTAGAGAGAAGCCCGCACGCTGCAACAAGGATCCCACATGCCTCAACGAAGATCCCGTGTGCTGCAACTAAGACCCGATGCAGCCAAAAATAAATAAAATAAATAAACAAATAATAAATAAATCTTTTTTTTTTTTTAAAAAAGCAGCACATCATCCTTTGTCCCTGCCCCACCTTCTTCATTTTTCATATAGTCGCAGGGGCAGCGCCATGTGCTTCACAATAGACAACCTGGTCCCTATTTTCCCACCATGTTCCCAGAATTCTAGGCTAGTTAAATTTAAGTCCCAAAGCAGCTTTGCTTACGGGGTTGTGGATGTCCATCCATTTGTCACTTTTGGATTCAATAAATTTCCCATCAATGAAAAGCTTTACAGATGGCTGGGGAAAAAAAACAAAAAACACCACAAAACTTTGTATTAGTTAGTTGCTTTACTTCTCTCTTTCACAAAGAGAAAAGGAATTGGGGTTGATAACTGAATTTCCTGCCCTCTAGAAATGTTAGCACTAGGAAAGAGAGATACAATATACTTGTCTATAGTGCTTATTAATATGGGGCAGAGCCTCTCAATACTGTGATCTCTCTGTAAATGGGAAATTCCCTGCCAATCACACAGTGGAACTTCACGAGTAAATATATGCCACTGAGAAGCTTATACTAAAAAAGCAGTAGACTCTGTGTTAACAAAGATTAGCTATTAGGACGTCTTGGCCCAGGTGACTTTCTGTCACATTACCATGAGCATGCATTACCTTTAGGATCAAAAGATTTTAAAAGACATTTCTATCTGTGTAGTTTTTCTGAGAAGTAGCTTGTTTTCATTAAATTTTCAAAGTGGTCTGTGGGCCAAAAAAGGTGAAAGATTACTATGTTACAGTATGTGCATGCTTCTATATAAACAGGATTTTGAGCACCAGTCCTTATATATCAGGTTTCGTTACTGCAAATGGCTGATAGACAGTAGGTCTGTAAAAACAACTCTAAAGGTTGTAAAGAAGACAACCTTTCTGGCAGCCTCAAGAAAACCTCTAGAAGCCAAGAAAATGTATCTTTTGACACAGTAATCCTAATTCAGAAGGGAAAGAAGAAAACTACATAAATAAATGTTTGTTTTATAATACTGAAAAATAGAATAAGTCTAAATGTTATCTGGAAAAATTATTAGTTAATTCAGGCTATATCTACTTGATAGAATATTATATAGCCATTAAAAATCATAATCATAAAGACCACCGTGCGATATTGTAAATGCTTACAACACAGTAGACACAATATGAGATAAGAAAACCAAGATACAAAATTTCAGATAAACTCTGATCATAATTATGTAAAGAAGATAAATGGGAATACCCCCAAATTATACTGGATTCCTTCTCAGAAGTCAGCCTTTATTACCAAATAAACTCACCACTGAAGATGAAGAGAAGGAGGATGCTGGGTGCCAACTGGAGTTCACCTTGGAAGAAACCTGGGGGGTAAAAGAATGGTTATTTTGATAAATGAGAGCAGAAAATTATTAAAAATTTAGTGAATGGCTACTATATGCTTAACATTATACTAGTTACTGTGGGTATATGAAAAAGGACTTGGCGTTTGCTCTCAAGGCTCATACAGGCTTTGTAAAGAGAAAAGTTGTGAGACTATGAGACACAGCAAACCATGAGAGAACAATACACCACAATGATCATGTGCTCAATTTCCAGGACAGTCCTGGTTAAAAAAATATTTTTTTTGTCATTAGACCATATTTTTCTAATTTTTGGCCTGGTACATGTAGTCACCATAAATCTAAAAATAAGATAACACTTAGGATGCTCTCTAACACAATAGGTGTTGAATATAAGATAGTATATAACCAAGTGTCAAATGTATGTATAATATGCCCACACAAATACTTAAAACATGAATGTTCATGGTAAATTTATTGGTAACAGCCTAAAATTTGGGAACAACGCAAATGTCCACAATTGGATGGGTGAATAGGGAAACTAGTATGGTATATCCATGTCGGAATACTACTCAGCAATAAAAAGGAGTCGACTATTGACATATGCAACATGGATAACTATAGTAATTATACTGAGTGAAAGAAGTTAAGACTTAAAAAGAGTATATACGGTATGATTCCATTTATATAAAACTAGAAAATGTAAAAGGTAATGTCAGAAAGCAGATGAGTGGTTACCTAGAGATGACGGAGGAGGAAAAGAGGAAGGGGGTAAGAGAGAAACGTTTTGGGGCAATGTGTTCACTATCTTGATTGTGACGTCTTCACAGGTGTATACAAATATTAAAACATCAAATTATACACTTTAGGGCTTCCCTGGTGGCGCGGTGGTTAAGAATCCGCCTGCCAATGCAGAGGACATGAGTTCAATCCCTACCCCGGGAAGACCCCACATGCTGTGGAGCAACTAAGCCCGTGCACCACAACTACTGAGCCTGCACCCTAGAGCCCACGAGCCACAACTACTGAGCCTGAATGCCACAACTACTGAAGCCTGCACGCCTAGAGCCCGTGCTCCGCAACAAGAGAAGCCACTCCAATGACAAGCCCACACACCGCAACAAAGAGTAGCCCCCGCTTGCTGCAACTAGAGAAAGCCCATGCACAACAACGAAGACCCAACACAGCCAAAAATAAACAAATAAAAAAAATTATACACTTTAAAATATGTACAGTTTATTTTAGGTCAATTTTATTTCAATAAAGCTGTTTTTTAAAATGCCACATGTGGGCTTCCCTGGTGGCGCAGTGGTTAAGAATCTGCCTATCAATGCAGGGGACACAGGTTTGAGCCCTGGTCTGGGAAGATCCTACATGCTGTGAAGTAACTAAGCCCGTGTGCCACAACTACTGAGCCTGTGCTCTAGAGCTCGCAAGCCACAACTACTGAGCGCACGTGCCGCAACTACTGAAGCCTGCGCGCCTAGAGCCCGCGCTCCGCAACAAGAGAAGACATTGCAATGAGAAGCCCGCGCACCGCAACAAAAAGTAGACCCCGTTCGCCACAACTAGAGAAAGTTGGCGCACAGCAACAAGGATCCAACACAGCCAAAAATAAATTAAAAAAAAAAAAAAAGCCACATGTACCTAATAGGAAAAGAATGTGTTATACAGGTAATAGGATTTAATCAGGAAATGGCAGGGGTCGGGGGGATCAGTTACAATAAAGTCACTCTCTAAAAGAAAATAGTTTGTATATATGCTATGCAAGTTGATATAAGAAATACTGAAGTCTAATCAAAGTGAGCAAACTAAAATAGTCAAGACTGGGTTGTAAAAGGAAGCTGCAATCTAATAATCTATTACCTTGTCTGAAGAGAAATCATGTTAACCAAAGAGTTTAGGGCTGCATAAAGTACAAGAATTTGTTTGTGTGCCTGCAGCACTGTCTAGAGGAAAGGGTGCTGGTCCTTTGGGCCAGCAGACAGTCCTTCCAAATGCCTGGTCTGCTTCCTCTCCCAGTCCCCACAAAAGCTATTTCAAACCATCAACACTCTCCTGGAGACCACCATGTCTTACTTATAGTCACGTTCCGAATACCAACACAGTACCTGCTACACAGTAGGTGTTCAGTAAATATCTACTGAACGAAAGAAAGGTCCACTGGGCAGCTTATATTGCCTGACTGTCCCCCACCCCAGACTTGGTTAGCTGTCCTTTTTTGTACTCCATAGCAGCCAATATTTCCCTTAAGAGGTTATCTGTCTGTGTTGTAATGACCTAGTTACTTGTTTGTTACCCCAAAGACTATAAATTCCACGAGGGCAGGCACTGAATCTTGTTTACTTACTTTACAGAGTTACTGAGATCAAGCTTGTCCAGGTATGAAAAATAGCTAGCAAGTAGTTGGTGCTCATTACATGTTGTTATTACTATAAATACTTATTTGCTCACACTCCTTGCTATTTCAAAACTTAACAATTCTCTTAAAATTTTCAACTCTGTTCCTTTCTTTCTCACTCTTAAGAGCTGATCTTGCAGATGTAAACTATTACATATAGGATGGCTAAACAACAAGGTCCTACTGTATAGCACAGGGCACTATATTCAATATCCTGTGATAAACCATAATGGAAAAGAATATGAAAAAAAGAATGTCTATATGTGTATTACTGAGTCACTTTGCTGTACAGCAGAGATTGGTACAACATTATAAATCAACTATATTTCAATTAAAATTTTTTTAATTAAAAAAAAAGAGCTGATCTTATTTTTTCTACTTCAGCGGAAACAGAAACCATCAGATGGGAACTTCCTCAACTTCTTACCAGTAAGCCTACAAAACTGACCAATACCCATCATTTTTTCCTTTCTTCCTCTTATAGTGGAGAAGGTAGCTACCAAGGTTCACAGGGACAGAGTGACTGGGAGACAGAGGTGCACAGAGGTGGACTGACTGAAGAGGTGTCTGTCCTGTAATCTAAGGCTAATCTCTGCACCTGTGCTCTGAACTGTTCCTCCTGCCTCGGACACCTCCATCAATGATCCTTTCTTTCCTGTACCTTAAACCTCTCTCCATCCAATAGCCAGAGTTCTCTATACCAATTACCTCCTCATCTCCCACTAACTCTTCAATCATCTCCAAGCTTTATGATTGAACACGAGTGACTTCCTCCATACCATGGACTCTTCCAAGTCCTTCTTGTACTTGACCTCTCAGCAGAGGTGGAGAGTTATTTAATCATGCCCTCTTCTGAATCCCCTCTCCACTTGTATTCTGTGATGCCCTGGTATCTTTTCTATTTCTTGGGCCACTTTTTCTATGCCTTCTATGCTGGTTCAGTCTCCTATACCTGGCCTCTAATGGTTGAGTTCCTGAACAAGGAGTTCCTGAACTCTCCTTGGGTGATTTCATCAACTCCAGTGGCTTAATTATCTAGATCCTGGTGATGCCCAAAACTGTAATTCCTCACCAGAATCTTCCTCTTCAGGTAATACCTACATAACTGTCTTCACCACATCTCTACTTGGATGTTATTTAGGTACATGTTGAAAAAGCTGACCTCATCTTCCTTCCACCAACCGGCTCTGTTTCCTATAGCCCACCTTTCAGTAAATGGGGCTACTATCCACCTAGCTGCCCAGCCAGAAACTTGAATGTCACCCCAACTCCTCCCTCTCTCTCCTCAGTGAATCAAACAAGTCCTGGCAATCTGTCCTCCCAGAAGTCTTTGAAATGCACCCCCTTCTCTCCACCCCTCCTACCCTCACTGAAGTCTATACCATCATTGTCTCTCACCTGGACTTCAACAATGGTTTCCTAACAGGTCTCCCAGCCTCCATTCTTAAACCTTCTGAATCTAGTTTCCACTCCATAGCCAGAGGGTCTTTCTAAAACACAAACCTGGTTAGATCACTCCTTTGTTTAAAACCTACCAATGGCTTTCCATTGTCCTTGGGATAAAGACTCACCTTGATGTTGCTTAGAAGACTCTACATAGTATCTTTACTTCTCTAGTTTCCTAGCTTGTTGCTTTCCTCCTTGCTCTCTCTATGCTCCAGCTGTTCAGAACATGTTTTGTGCTCTCATTGCCCTTGCACATGCTGCTCCCTCTTGCCTGGAATTGTTTCATCCCATTTGCTTGGCTCACGTCTATTCCTTAGCTCCCTATCACTTTGGGTACAGGTACAGGTACAGGTCAGTTCTGTAGGCTTGCTAGCAGGAAGTTGAGGACATTCTCATCTAATGGTTTTTGTTTCCTCTGAAGTAGAAAAAACAAGATTAACTCCTGTGAGTGAGAGGGGCAGTAGCAGAGTTGGAAGTTTTTAAGTCTCAATCTCTGGTCTAGGCTAAGTACCTGATTATGAAGTTCATAAAACACCCGAATTCCTCTATTTCTCATATCGCACTAGGGAATAGTAGCTTATTTAAGTATTAAGTCTCTCTCCCTTAGATCACTAGATGGTTGTGTGCTAAGCCCCTAGCACCATTCCTGGACTAGAGTAAGCACTCAGTAATATTCTGCAGAATGAAAGAATGAGCACACATCAAGCAATTGTTGGATATTAATTTTGTTTCATGTAAATTCTCTTACAGGGCAGAAAATACACGGATAAGCCAACTGGAGCATTCTAGGTCACTTAGTTTTTTTTTGTTTTCTTTTTTAAAAAAATATTTATTTATTGGCTGTGTTGGGTCTTCGTTGCTGCATGCGGGCTTTCTCTAGTTGCAGCGAGCGGGGGTTACTCTTTGTTGCGGGTGCATGGGCTTCTCATTGCAGTGCCTTCCCTTGTTGTGGAGCACGGGCTCTAGAGCGCTGGCTCAGTAGTTGTGGTGCACCAGCTTAGTTGCTCTGCAGCATGTGGGATCTTCCCGGACCAGGGATCGAACCCGTGTCCCCTGCATTGACAGGCAGATTCTTTTTTTTTTTTTTTTGCGGTACGCGGGCCTCTCACTGCTGTGGCCTCTCCCGTCGCAGAGCACAGGCTCCGGACGCACAGGCCCAGTGGCCATGGCTCACGGCATGTGGGATCCTCCCGGACCGGGGCACGAACCCGCGTCCCCTGCATCAGCAGGCAGACTCTCAACCACTGCGCCACCAGGGAAGCCCGACAGGTGGATTTTTAACCACTGCGCCACCATTGAAGCCCTAGGCCACTTAGTTTTATTTTGTCATTGGCACACAGTCTCCCTGCTGTCAAGAGGGTATAAAAGGCACTGCATCTGGTATAATAAAACATTATCATATAGTTTTGAAAGGTTAGATCTCCTTTCTTTTCTTCATTTTCCAAGACACACTCATTAGTACTGTTGCTGAAAAAACTATCCTATGTCCAGTCACACCAAACTCCTTGTTCTCTAGATGTTTATTTCATACTTGCTATTTCCTTTACCAGGAACTCTCTTCCCCTCTACCTAAAGGCCTCCTACTCTTGCAATACTTAAACCCAGATCAACCCCTTTTGGAAGCTTTTCCTGAATTGCACAGGTGGAATTTGGGGCTCTTTCCCTAGGTTCCTACAGTACTGTGTGCACTCTTACTGTTTAGCACTTATCATTGCATTACAATAGGGGGGTTTTCAGTGAATATTTTACTTATCTCTCCTTTCCCAAAGCTTGGGACAGTGCCTGACACAGAAAGACATGCCTGAATTCTCAGCCGCATTAGTTACTAGTTGGGAGACTTTGGATGACCTTTAGTGTCAGGTAACTTACTTCATTATATTAATTCTAATCTTCACAGATATTCTTAAAACTAGGAAGTGGTGGTGCTGGGATAGAACCCAAGTATGATTGTGCAGCCTGTGCTCTTTCCACTGCATCACTGAAGAAAGTCATTGAGTCACTTCAAGACCAGTCTTCTTATCTTTAAATGGGAGTGATAATATCTTGACTGCCAGAATCTAGACTACTCTTTATCAAAGTGTCATGTTACAGTAACTCCTAGTTGACTTAGAATTACTATCTCTGTTCTTTCCAGGTCAACTCAGAAGTTTCTTAAAATGAATCAGAAAATAGTGTCTATTTCTAAAATAAAGTACTTGGGAAGGGAGATTCTTTTCCTTGATGCAAAGGACAAAATAGCTTCTTAAGGCTCTCAATGACTTGTGATGGCAGAGGAGGTAAAGGAAAAAAGTCAATTTCAGTAGAAGAGTTTGAGAAGTTGGTAATGGAAAGTATAGGATGGAAACTTTGTTTCTCTACTACAAAAACAAAAAACAAACAAACAAACAAACCTAGAAAATCAGAACTAGGATCACATCAAGAAATATGAGGAAAGCCAGATCATTTGACAAACGCTTCCAACCCATTCTCCACACTGTCCCATTAAATAGCATATTTAAACAGGAATCTTTGCCGACTCTGCTAAGAATCTTAAAAATGCATGGTCTCTGCAGTAGAACTCACTGAAACCTGGTAAATACTAATATTATCTAACAGCCCAGCAATATAGAGGAAGAAGTTCCCAGGCTGGATATAATGAGTAAGAGAAGCAAAATTGCTTCTTGCAGGTTCCAGAATGTTGCCTGTAGTAAATCTTGCCTCATAATCTAAGTCCTTGGAAGGCTGTGAACAACGGGGGGTTGCGGGGCAGGGGTGGGGGTGGGGGTGGGGAAAGGCTATGAACAGAGTTGTAAATCACAGGCCTCAGGCATGCAGCTTCTGTATCTCCTATCCTTAGGCTGGCTTCAGAGAGGACCTAATCCCCCCACCCCACCCCCAGGGGCAGAGTTGAGTCAGGCTAGGAGCTGACTTGGGGGTGGGAACTTGGAACTTACACTTCTTGTCTTCCTTGGCTCCCATTTTCTATAACGTGCTTTAGAGATGTTTAGTCCTTTGCATATGCTTGGAACAAACTGGTAGCATTAACTATGTGTCCTTATTCACGGCCAACATAAACACTGTAACTTTGCTGAGAGAAAGTTAAACTCAAAGTCTTGGCAAGCAAGGGCACAGCCCACAGCCTGTGGAAAATACAAAGAGCCATAGCTGGGGAAAATAGCTCAGCAAATGGCTGCTTTGAGGGAAAACCTAGTGTACACTTCTAGAAGGAGATTCAAAGTTCATTCACTGACCCTCGCCCCTCGTGTGCCTCCCACCTCCGCCTTTACCTCGGACTGTAGACAGTGAAGGGAAGGGTGGGGGAAGGGAACAATCTGGATGCTCCCGGCAGGATGCTAAGAAAGGTGACCAGAAGGGGAGTTTTTGGGGCAGAGAGGTGGCTGGGGCAGAGAGGTGGCTGGTGCAGAGGTGAAAGGGAAAGACGGTGGGCAGACCGATAGAGGTGAGGGCAAGAGAGTGACGGCAGGGGCGGGGCAGGGCTGGAGGAGGAGAGTGGACCAGAGCCAGAAAGAGGGAGTCTCAAGAATAAAAGGGAGAGGGGTGATATAGTCCAGGGCTGGATCCAACGAAGGCGGATACTGAGTAAGGTGTGGGACAGGGCCGCACTGGTCCGATGGGCACAGGAGGGTCAGCCATGAAGGGGCTGGCTCAGAGAGCGGACGGAAAGGACCGAATTTCTAGTTTCGCGACCCCTTGGCGCCACCCTCACTCGCCTGCAGGATCCGGGCCCGCATTGCCGCCGCCGCCGCCACCGCCGCCACCGCCGCCATGGCTCTCGGTTGCCTCTTCTCAGCCCCCCGCACCTCTACAGTCTGAGTCTGTCCACAAGCACTACTGCTGCCAGGCCTCGCCCCTCCATCCTGCCGCACCTCCTCATTGGTGGAAAGGACAATTTCCCCTAGCCAATCACTCGTCCTAACACCTGACTCCGCACCCTCAGTCCCAGACCTGGTGGTATGCGATTGGTCAGAAGTGATAGAGCTCTCGCCGCCCCCCTCCACCTCAACAAATTCTGTTGGCGGAGGTAGGGAAGACGCCCCTGACTTGGGTACTCTATATTGAGCACACGGGGAAACCGCCCCCGAACCCAGAACCGGGATTGGCCACAGGCACAACCGCGGCCCCACCCACTGAAGAAAGTAAATAAGGTCCTGCAAGAATTTTGCAGTAGCTCCGCCTCACCCACGGCGCGAGGGGGTATGGCTAGCACTGGGGGCTGAGCCGTGGAAACATTGCCCTATGGGGCGGGGAAACTAGACCAGGCCGTGTGTTGGGGATAGGGCTTCTCTTTGGGGGCGTGGTTTATGGATCCTTGCTTTCCCGCCGACGGTTGGCCACGTCACGTGACATGGGTTGGAAGATGGCGTCTCCCACAGACGGTAAGAGCCGGTTTAGGGACCCTTCGCCTGCAACCTCCTTCTGTGCTCTCCTGGGAACTTCCACTCTCCGTCTGCCCCTCGAACTTACATATCTTAAGTGGGCTCTCCTTTCCCTTCCACTTCTTTTCCATGGGAGGTGGGTGCATCTTCAGTTCTCTGGTTCTTCACAGTGGCTCTGAAGGTGCCCAGTTTCTCTGCAATGTACCAGGCGGGTGGAGGAGGGCACCCGCTTGGGACCCTTTCTGGGCAAAAGGACGAGAGTCGCCTTGGTCCTCCGCCCTGGTCCGCTTTAGTACGCTAAAGCCCCATTTGGGTGAGGCTGAGGGCCGAGGAGGAGATACTGCTGAGGAAAGGAGGCGCCTTAGTGTAGCTTTCTCCTCCGGGCGCCCCATTGAAGGGTCGATTCTCCTCTTTTTGAGCATCCGGAACGATTCTCCTAAGCGCTTGCTAGGGTTGGTGGCTGACTTCATCCCGGGATTGAACCGCAAGAGAAACGTGATTCTCTCCTGTCTCCTTAGATTGGGACCGTTGCCCTGGCGGCTAAGGAAGAGACCCTCTCGGTCCCTCGCAGTGAGAGTCCGAGGAAAATGAGAATTGAGCTTTTTAGCGTAGTCATGCACATGTCTCAACCTCTGTAGCTTCTGCTTTGTGTGTTGTTTCTTAAGGCTGAGTGAATGAACGATTTCTGCTTATATGTTGTCTAAGAGGCAAGTCATCTAAGATAGTAATTGAGTGGTTTTGGTATACCCACAGGGTTTTGCGCTCCGTTCTGCTTTAGGGTTAGGATCTTGCAGTCATTTCTGGACTCACTTAATTCTTGCTTCGACCACCTCCATCCCTGCGTCCATTTCACTGATAGTTAGTTTTCTGTCAAACAAAGGTATTTTGTGTTTGGAAGGAATCTTGGAAGTTCGTTTCAGGAATGAGGAAATTGAGGCCAGGAAATCTAGACTGAGATCCTGCTATATGAAAGGCGTTATTCTAGGTGCTTTGGAAAAGATTAATCAAACACGTAAACACTTTTGCAGTTTCAGGTCTCATTTAAATGTCACCTCCCAGAGAGGCTTTCCCAGAACACAGTATCTGGAGTTGCCCTTCTTCACCATTATTCCCTTTCTCTGTACCTTCATCGACAGAATAGTTATTATGTTAACTTTGCCCTTTTCACACCAGATTGTAAATTCCAAGTCTGTCTTGTTCATAGTTGGATCCCAGGGCTTAGCACAGTGCCTGGCAAGCAGTAGGCCTTCAATTCACGTTTATTGAAAGACTGATTAGATATATGCATAAATAATAAATTACTTAGTCTTAAGTTTAACTGAGTCTTAAGTTTTTTGAGCACAGGTACATACTGTATAAGAAATTATGGGTGTTGGGAGTCAAAAGAGATTATTTTGCCTGGGTGCTCTCTTGTTAAAATGTCCTTCCCCCCCCCTCAGGAAAAAAAGGCATTTAAAAAATCAGCCAAGGGAATGGGGAATTATTGTTTAATGGGTACAGACTTTCAGTTTGAGAAGGTGAAAAAGTTCTGGTGATGGATGGTGACGATGTTTGCACAACAATGTGAATGTACTTAATGCCACTGAACTGTACACTTAAAACTGATTAAAATGGTAAATTTTATGTATAACTTACCACAGTTTTAAAAAAAACCAGCCAAGTGATAGAAGTAGAAGTAATTGCTATTAAAATTTTTAGCTTATTACTAAGTTGTCTTTATATTTAAAAGTTTTGTTCCTTATGTTTGATTTTTCCCATCTTCTCTCAATTTCTTTTCCTCTCTTTGGCCAGGAAGAATACTGGAAATGTGTTTTTTTCCTTTGGTCTTTTAGCCATATCCACTCTCACTCAATGTGCACTCTAGATTTTTAAAACTTTTCATGCTCATCTTTTACAGAGCTTCACCCTCTCCCCATAATCTTTTTAATCTGACAAAATCAAGTTGAGCACTTTGAACTTAAATTTAGCTTCTAAATAAGTATCGTATCCTAAAATATTCCACTGCCTAGCTCTCTCACTTCTATTTTTAGTGTTCCACCTGTTTCTGTCTTTAAGATTTAAAATTATCGCCATTAAATTATCTTGCTATGAAAAAAAGTTTAGGTCATTTAGTGTTTCTCTCTTTTTTTTTTTTTGGTACGCGGGCCTCTCACTGTTGTGTCCTCTCCCGTTGCGGAGGACAGGCTCCGGACGCGCAGGCTCAGCGGCCATGGCTTACGGGCCCAGCCGCTTCGCGGCATGTGGGTTGCTCCGCGGCATGTGGGTTCCTCCCGGACCGTGGCACGAACCCGCGTCCCCTGCATCGGCAGGCGGACTCTCAACCACTGAGCCACCAGGGAAGCCCTAGTGTTTCTCTTTTTAACGCTAAAATTGCTGGGACATCTTTGAAAAGGAGAAAATTGAACTAAGTAAAGCCATTAATTACTTAATGTATGAGAATAACACTCACAGTAGAGTCTGAGTTATGCTCCAGATTGTGGTATCATAGGGTCACACTTCTTGGTTATTGGATCCTACCCTCAATAAGTTTATTTTGTTACGGTTGAACTTTCCATCAGTAACATTCCTTGGGAATTTGAAAATTGGCATTTTGTGTTTCACACAGCTTTTTTTGGTTTGTTTGGTTGGTTGCCATTTTTGGATGCTTTAGTTAAGGCAATTTATTAGAGTTGAGTTCTTTCCCAATTAGAATGCTATTGGAAATTCACTTAAATATATAGGTTCAGCTAACATCCATCTTCTCATAATGATACAATAAAAAGAAAAGAAAGAAGAATAAAGGAAAAAATTTTTTGTCCTTTTGATGAAAACTCTTAGGATTTGCTCTCAACTTTCCTGTGTATCATACAGCAGTGTTAGCTATAGTCATCATTACATCCCTAGTACTTATTTACCTTATGACTGGAAGTTTGTACCTTTTGACCACTTTCCTCCAATTACCCCTCTTCTTACGCCCCACTTCTGGTAACCACAAGTGTGATCTCTTTTCTATGAGTTTACTTGTTTGCTTGTTTTAGATTGCACATATAAGTGAGATCATACAGTATTTTTCTATCTCTGTTTTATTTCACTTAGCATAATGCCTTCAAGGTCCATCCAGGTTGTTGCAAATGATAGGATTTCCTCATTTATATATGGCCGAATAATATTCCATTGTGTGTGTGTGTATTTTCACAATGTCTTCATCCATCAACGGACACTTAGGTTGTTCCCATGTCTTGACTATTGTAAGTAATCCTGCTATGAACATGGGGTCCCTTAGAATATTTGGGAAAAAAATTTAGTTTAGAGAAAAGCACATGTTGACAAATTTTATAAATATGTGTGTTTTCTGGGGAGTGAGTCCATAGCTTTTTTTTTCAGATCTTCAAAAATGTGGCTTACCCAGAAAATGTTAAGAAACCACTGTTTATATCATTAAATCAACCAATTTCTGCAGCTAATTAGTATACCGAGCACACAATATGTACTCAACAAATGTTAACTGTCGTTTTGGTTTTTTTTAATTAGTTTATTTGGTTGTGCCAGGTCTTAGTTGTGGCAGGTGGGCTTCTTAATTGCAGCAGGCGGGCTCCTTAATTGCGGCAGGCGGGCTCCTTAGTTGTGGCATGCGAACTCTTAGTTGTGGCATGCATGTGGGATCTAATTCCCTGACCAGGGTTGAACCCAGGCCCCCTGCATTGGGAGCATGGAGTCTTAA